TATGATCGACTGAGGATGATCGGAATGATATTACTTCACATAAACAATTAAAAAACTTTTGAAGTGAAACAGCAATTCTATTATCACTGGAATACGATATGCTTTTCCCGCATGAAAAAATCTTCTGTTTTATGCTGCAACTGGAACAAAAGCGAAACAAACAATATTTCATCAGTGCATCGGAATTTTCGACATCAATAAAACCGCAGATACGATTCCAGTCCGAGGGGAAAATTTCGCTCGAAATCGAGTGGTGCATCAGTGTCATTAAAATTGCTTAAAGTTCAATGTTTTTTGAACTCGTCTTAAAGGTCGTAACACAAATAGAAATAATTACAATCAATACGATCAGCTTTGAAATGATTCATATTCATACCCATGTGCACCCATGTGATAGTGATAGTGATGGTCATGAATGAAATAAGCACGAGTAATATGGACAGAGAATGCAATGTGCTTTGATTCATCATATGGAAGTAGAAGATGAACTCATTGCAGAACAAAACAACAAAATCGAAAAATTTTTGAGTAATAACAGATAATAACGCGATCGTCATTCCATGTTTTCATCCAGGAAAAGCAACTGCCGAATCGTCAGATGAGTACATAAACATTTCTAGAATGGTACAAACAAAACAAACAAATTCATCAACCGTCATCGCATAAGATCTCCTCGGAACAATACGGGAATGATATAAAAAGTTATCATGGAATAGCATTCTCCCGTAGTGTGCTCAATCAGTGAACGAAGCGATAAGACAAGCAAACACTTTGCTGATAATGATACTGCATCCACCTATCAGGCCTACTACTTATCAGTTGATTACCGCTCATGGGTTCATCAATAAATTCTTGCTGTAGAGTAGCAAAGTCCATGCTCAAAAGCATCTCTATCCAACCAACCAACCTACAATCAGTACTTCAATGACCTGTGCCATAGCAATATTGTAATTCAGTTGGTTTCTACTGTTTGTTGACTGTTATTGAAACTGATAATAATTATTGCTGAAATGAAATTCGAGAGCTAATTAAAAAGCTCGACTGAAATTGTTATCCGCAAACACAGAGTGTTCCCTTTGACCGTTTTTTGAAACATATTCGTTGCCACAGCTGGAATTGATGGTCCTCGAATTAATGCTCCTCACAGTTATACTTATAATTTTTTTGATATTTTACGCAATTTATCTATTTCGAAAGACTGCCGTCAGCAGTTCTACGGCTAACGAGAACGTTAACTCTCCTATGAGTTTTGTGAATGCTCGGAATCGTACAAATGAGAACAATTCAAGTGAGTTCGTTTTATTTGTTGAAAATTCTTAACTTTGCATCGATACATCAGTCTAGCGTTCAGAATATTGCACGTAAGCTTTGTGAACTCTGCAGTCAATTTATGACACTTTGCTAGTTAATCGATGGTAGAACAAAGTGGAAGGTTTTAGTTACGGATACATTGGGTCTCATCAATTTTATGCTACGGGCAAGCTCATGAACATCTGTTATTCGTGTTGCGTTGAAACGTAATTTTACAATCAATTTAACAGTTTATGCGTTCAGTAATCCGGAACGGAACGTACATCCTCACAGAACGGTTCACAAGTTGATCGACAGTAATGATGTGATACCGAACCAATGGATTTTGATATGACATGAATTGTAGATGATAATGGAGATGGTTCATCAGCGAGTGTAGCACGAGTCTTTATACTGGACGTTCCACCGCAATATTCTGAAGTTGCACCGCCTTCCTACGACTGGGTCTTGAAGCATTCAAATCATCGCCAACAACCGTCATAAAAAGCAACTCTCGATCAGCAATCGCTGATTTCTGAAGAAACATTTCCAGTGAGAACACAACGAATGCTATCATGATGGACTTTCAGCGAATATTCAGTATTCCGGAACGTATGTCCTCATAGAATGGTTCTCAAGTATGCAGTTAAATTCAGTCGATTGCTCACTCGTCCCTCTGCTCATGGCCGATAACTTCTTCTAGTCGAAGGTTTTCATACTGGTTCTGTGATCCTATCACGTTTTTGAATTTTGTGAGCCTCAATTTCACTTCAATTTCTGTATTGTACCTATTGTGAGAGTCAGTTCATTCGTGTTGATGTGCAGTTACAATTCAATTACAGTTCGCTCGGTAAAATTTGAAACGACCTGTGTTGTTGCAAACGAACATCATACAGTAGCATTTTTCGTTTCTTAAAGCAAAATTACAGAACTCTGAAGAGGGTTGCATAACTGATAATTTCATCTCGCTCAAGTTAAATTGACCGCTTTGATTACTCGGTAATGTTTCGATCGACAAGGCTGCAACAGCTCTTTCGCAGTAATACGCGGATGGATCAGACAGTCCATGTTAGCATGTCATTGATTCCATTCAGCTATACTTCCACTCTTGTACAGCAGTTAAAAGGCTTGATGAAGAAAACAGTGGAAGAAGCTTCCATCTGCAAATTTCACTATACACAGAATATCTTTGTTTTCGGAGACTTGCACAAACAACAAAGCAAAATTTTGAAGAATAAGGCTGAGAACGCTCGAAGATTCTAAATTCGTGAGCAGAATGCGTTTTTGCAGGCAATATTCAAACAATCAGAATGCATTTTTGCACGTTTTTTGCATCATTTTAATGCGACGATATTCTTCGACAAATCTCTTGTCTTGAATCAAATTTATCGGGATAAAAGAACACCGTTAACCGAATACGATTGTTTTCTTGATGTTGACACCTGATCAAATAATCAGTCGTCTGCATAGAGGCATTCATTGCTGTCGCCTCTGAATTGAGGGATTTGTATTGATCAGCCGAACGATCTGTGCAAATGATCGACAAAACAAAAAACAGTTTGAATGCAGTTTGAGATTCAGATTGAATAAACAAAGCATAAATGAATAAAAAAACAATAATAAGTTTGTGCTCAAAAGGATTCCTGCTATTGTTCATTATGAGGGTGTTTACGTAATATGATTGCAATGAGAATCTGGAGGTATTCGGTTAAGAGTAGCTGCTGAAGTGAGTCAAATCAATGAATAGGAGCCAGCAAAAATAACAGCTGTCTGCATCAACACCTAAAAAATATGGTTATTATTTTCACACCTTTTCGCTGTGCACATGAAAAGAAAATGTGCGATCAGGTGTTCAAATATCCCTCAAGACAATGTGACAGACGAGACGGGCTTACCGGAAAGCCATAACAAGATCGCCTTTATAAGGCGATGATTTGAACAGCAATCATCACAATTCCTGGAACGATAATGTTCACGGTATTATGGTTCGTTGCGCTTACCGCGTCAGTGATCGATGCTGAAGAGCTTCAGGTGGATATTTGTTATCATTCCGTTTCATCACTTAATGTGCAGTTATCTTGAGCCTGATCTTGAAAATTTTCCATCCTTGAGAATGAGCTGTTTTCATGTGAATAAGTGAACACATTTTGAGCTAGGAAATGATCAATGCGCTAGAAATCGAACGACTGAGAATACTATTTATATGAGGAGGATTAGGTACTTTTTGAGCGTTATTTTTTGCGCTTGGCAGATCGAATCTAATTTTCAGTTCAATCACATGGTACCAGACACAGAAACAAGTCTAACAGTTGAGGATTTCCGACTCGCCAAGGATTTGCCTAACATATCTCCTCCGAATGACTCGGAAATGTACTACGCGCATCGATTCGAGGGCGATATCGGTTTGTCGTCCGTCGTGAAGACTAAATTTTGTCTGATGAATGATAAATGAAATGCACATATCATCACCCCATAATTCATGGTATTTAGACGAAAGCGATAAGTGAAATACGTCCAGTCAAATCAGTCAAAAAGTGGATGTAGAATTCTTTCAATTCGGAATTCAGCCAATTTCCTCAATCGTTTCCGAAAATCCATGAAATCGATATGCGTCTTTTGTGTTGTCTTCAGATGATCCGTATATGACGTCCGCAGTCGCAAGTGGTGTCCCGATGAACGCCAGCATTGGGTCAGCCGTTTACGGCAATGCTATAAGAGACCGTAGAAGGAGATGGCCAAGCGGCCGTGTTCCATATACCATTTCATCGCAATTTAACCAAAAAGCGTAAGTACTGGTTTGGCCATTTAATCGCATCATTTAGCATCTCTCTCTCGTATTCTCATTTCCTACTCAATCAGGGAATAATTAGCACAACACAATCATCACATTTGACACATTCGTGAAAAATTCTTTCGGTGCCAATCAAAGAATTAATTGCATGGACTCTTCTCATTTATCCAGCCATAATTAAACATTACTGATACAATTTTACCAAGTTCAAGGAACCATTTATTCCATGGAAATTTGCGATAGAGATCTGGTGAAATTTGATAAAAAAACATCGGCATATTTTTTATGTCTCAGTGAGTGGGACTGAATTATTGGCTTTAATTTTGAAAATCTTGGCTCAAAATTACGAGAACAAGATGGATGAATTGAGAGAATCTACATCTCCCAAGCCGGTCTATGTTTTGCACCTATCAATCTTATCCTCTTACTTTGATTCATCCGCTCACCTCAAAAATTTAGGCGAGCCACGATTGCTGCTGCTATGGAAGATTATAAGAAACATACTTGCATTCATTGGACACCAAAATCTTCGTCTGACAACGACTATGTCCACATCGTACCTGGACAAGGCTGTTCGTCATTCGTCGGTCGAATAGGTGATCATCTGCATTAGAATTTCATTTATTTTTTTGGTTGTAGCAATTGATCTGGTATCCAAATTTGTTTATCAAAAAGGCTGATAGTGAGTTGATTTTTCGAACCTGCTCATTGTCAGCTTACAAGGAGATTGCAACAACAAGTGGAAGTGCCCTTCATCTTATCTGACATCAAACAATAGGGCTACTCGGTTTTGTTTTGAAAATAAAGAGCATGACGATAAACAATTAGTGCTCTTCATGAGTTTGATCGCGGAATGATCAAATTTTGAGATGTTGTTAGAAGACGTTGAAATAATTAGAAGATGTATATACTGATGGCATAGATGTGAAGAAGACAGAGTCATTGCATTGATAAGGCAAGTTCAATTCAGGTGGACAGCAGAAGCTCAATCTTGGTCAAGGATGCCTTTACAAGGGTATTATCATGCACGAGATGATGCACGCATCTGGCTTCCAACACGAACAATGTTTGTCCTTGTTTCTTCGCCATCAATTGAAATCACTTTTGGGATTCACTAGCAGAATCTAATGGAATCGCGTACCAACTGAGCGCAATTCAAATGCTGTGAATTGCATAATGCTGCATTAAGTTCCTCCGTTGAACAGACTTGCATCTAATTCTATTAATGCTCTCTTGACTTTGCTGACTCATATAGTGGAAGAGT